CTGCAATCCACTGAAACCAACCACACCACTGAATTTCAGAGTACTCTAGAATTGTAAGAGACAAATTCAGCAAGCTTGGAAATCACAGTTGCTATTGTCTTGGTCTTGCTTTCATTGAAAAAATTGTTCAGGCACTTAGAATTTGACGTAAGAAAAGACCAGAGCACTGTGATTAGAACTCTCTGAGATTAAACTAACCAGTCGTGGAATTTTCCTTGAAAGCAAGTGAATTCTTTGCTGTCTCTTTTGCTTGGATTTTAGGCCTTCTTCCTCCCATCCTGCTCTGAATTACAAAATCTCTACTAGTTTCTGTACTGTCTTATATTGCAGTGTTTCTAGAAAACCTCCTTTGAAGTTTGTGTGCCATTACCAGACTGTGTATCCACGTGCACACTGGCCATGCACTGCTGAAAGCCCTTGTGTTAGCTGCTTCACCGCTAAAAAGGTCCTCTACAACTCATCGTGAGATATCTGCGCTGACTGCATGGCTCACCTGCTGGTGATGCAAATGTGAAACGTTTAAACATTATGCTTTAAAACCAAGAGTATCGCTGATGTTGGTCACAGTGTTAGTTCTGCTTTTGGCACACAGTGTTTTTCTGACTCTCTCCCTCTCTTGTAAGCCCATACACACACGTGTGAGGGAGGAAGCTGAGATTTTGTAATTTACTGGAAACAAAAGGTGGGTAAAGGTTTCTCCAGGAGACCACTGAATGTGAAGTCCATACTTTTCTCTTCTTACAAAGGGCTAAATCATTTATTCAGTAATTCAGAGTCAGTAGGCTTGAGTATTTCCTAAGCAGGAACCACTATGTTAGCGCCCTGTCTGTTCACACAGACAGTGGCATTCCAGCATCTGCATAGTTTGTATTCAGTGAACATATTCTTGTCCTTGGCTGTTGTTACTTATTAGAAATCCTGATTTCTGCACAAGATTTCAGGTCTGTTAACACGGATGTGGAAGTACTTGACAGAAGTGACTCAGTAGTCCTAAACGCAAGAAAAGAAGGGAAGGAACCCCAGAGGCAGTGTGCTGCTCTGAAGGGCCCAGTGCCACAGCCCAGCCTGCTGTGAGAGGAGGGGGAGGCAGCTCAGCCATCACTAGGCATCAGGGACTGCAGAGGTGGAAGAGAGGCAGTAGGAAAGAGCGATGGATTAAAAGACAGCAAACCAAACTTAGTACAGAAGCAGCAGTCACTGTTCACAGGCTTCTGTGAGTCTAGAGGAAACGGCCCTGCTCATGGGGTGGTGTTTTCTTCTCTTTCACTGCTCAGTTTGGAAAACAGGTAAAGGACGGGAAGAGTTTCACTGCACACAACTAATAGCAAAGAAGTCAGTTCTACTCACTGTTGCCATTCTGCTGAGGGACAAGCCCAAAGCCACAGGAACTGCTGCAAGCCAGGTCTTTTTTTTTTTCCCCACGGAAGTGAAGGTATCCATAGCTGTGTTTGTCGGAATCGCTGTGGTCCTTAACCCCACAGAGGGGCCTGGGTGCAGCCTCCTTCTGGACCAGCCAGCAGTCCTCACCAAGAGGTGAAGGGAAAAAGGAGTTTTGAGGGATGTCAGCCACAGGAGAAGGGAACTGTTTTCTGATTTTTCTTTCTACAAAATAAGAGACTGCTTCAGACTAATTAGCCCCAGCTTTATAAGTCAGATTTATTGTTATGGCATTGATTTTCCATGTGCTGCTGCATCCTGAGCTTGGCATGGCTCTGATCTAACTGAAATGCTGACTCTGTATAGCTTAGGAAGGACAGAGATCAGCTTCTGCCCAGGACACCTGTGGTATCTTGTGAGACTCTGTAATTCAACCCCTCAAGTAGGAGCTGTGCGAAGCCTCCGAGAGTGCAGGTCTGGTGCTCTTGAGTCTGCAGAAACAACCCCCTCTGAGCTCCACCAAACTGCTATGCTAGCAGCTCCCCCAGCTCCTTCCTCTGAATGGGCAAAGGTTCATTTTATTTCATCTCTGCTGCCCATGATCTCTGCAGCACAGAGTGCTGGGGTTCATTTTCTGAATTGCATGAATAATTTACTGATAAAACAGATTTATCTTTGTTTCCTCACTATGTAGCAGATCCCAAATTTCCTTTCTCCAGTGACTTTCCCCTCCCAAGTTACCTGCACAGTCCCCAGCCATAGCCGTGTCGGCTGATGACAGCTGCCGGCTGTGCCACGGTGCTCCCCATGCAGGAGGGATTTGCACAGCAGCGTTACCAGGCACAGCGCTGCTGCGGGCTGTGAGGGTACACGTGCAGATCCTGGTTTAAAGTAGTTCTGTGGAAATACAGCTCCGTTACTGACTGAAAGGTGTTACAGACAAAGGCTCACAAAGGAGTCAGGAAGTTCAGGGGTGCTGGAGAGGCTGAAAAAAAAAGAAAAAGTGAATAATAAGCAGATGATAGTTCTTGCTTTTGGATTTGTCCTTTATACACACATTAAACCTTAAAAGACAGAGAAGAGCAATGATATTGTTGCTAGAAGAGTGTGCAGGAGATGGATGCTGGTCCCTGGACTAACAGCTCAGGAAAGACAACACCATCCTGAGGGAAAATTACAATTACTAACAAAGGCTCTGGCTCACTGAGAAACTGAGATCTTTACTTCTTTACTTGTCTTGTACGTTGTGAAGGGGAAAAACAATCCTTTCTAAATGTCTTGCTTATTAAGCCAGTCATGCATTTCACTGTAGGCTGTAAAGCAATATAACATGCACAGGGGGCTCATAAGCATATTTAGTGTTAGGGAATATCATTTATACAGTTTTTATATTGTCAATATTACCCCTAGAGAATGAAATTAGGCTTTAAACTACTGTAAATCTATGCTTTTGCTCACCTTTGTATAATTTCATTTTTTATTAGAATGAAGCCCACATAAATGAATATTTGATTAAGGGATAAACCTAATAAAAGAATACATTTATTGCACACAGATTTATTCAGATTTTTGCTATATAATACAGTAAAACACTATAAAATGGTATGTAGCTTGCAGTCAGCTACACTGAGGAGACGGTGAATATTCGTCAGGAAAGATTTGACAACATGGCATTGTCTTTTCTGTGTGTAAGTGGTAGCACAGATGCTCCTAACGTGCTCACTCCTCAGAGGTGGTTGCTGTATGACGTTGTTAATGCCATGGAGTTCAGTTTATTGCACAGCAACAAAAAAGTATTTTAATTTCTGGAGAATAACTGAGAGCTTTATAAGAAAGGGAATATTTAACTGTGAACTTTCTGTTTAGTGATCAGTAATACCTCCTGCGTGCTTGCACTCTGCTTGAGCTTTGGCATTTACTTTCTCTCTTCCAGGTATTCCAGATACTTCATTGGACTTTCCTTGAGAAATAAAGGGAATAGGAAGAAAACACTGAAACTTGTTCAAAGTTTAAGTAGTCCATGAGCCTGCAGCACCTTTGATGACCAACTCCCACCTTAGTTTGAAAAATAGTTTTTAAAATACAATAAAAATATCAATAATTAAATATCTCTTTATATTACTAACCAGTAGTGATCCCATTTTTTGTAGAGCGTTTCCTTGAGTGCACATCCGGATTCCTCCCCTCCTCTTTGCAGAGTCCTTGTAGCACACACAGCACAAACATGCTCTCGTGTGTGGTCTGTGCCTTAACTGCCCTTGTCTGTACAGATACCAAGTGTCAGACATGTATCAGAAGATGCAGCTGACGCCCAGTGCCCATTTGGATAGTGTCAAGTGCCTAATTTTTGCTGACTTCCATTGGTATTACACGGACTAGTGGGATCCCACCAGTGTAGGTGGCCAGGCCAGAGATGCCTTCATACGTCTGGGGAGCAGGTATTGGTTGGGTGCCCAGGACACGTTAGGCTCTGGGTAAATCTGTACATAGTGCCTGCAGGGGTGCTGCTGCTCACAAGACACACATTGTGGCAGAATGTCACTACAGAGACATGTAGTTCTGAGGGCAGCCATGCTGACCTGCAGATTCTGTCAGAATTAGAACTTTGATAGGGCCGGATCACCCACAGCCTGCAGTGGGAAGGAGTCTTGTGCAAATTCCCAGTAACCAGAAGGAAAAAATCTCCACAGTGCTCAGTATTTGCATTTCTGCTTTACCCCCTCCCCAGGCTTTCATATTTACCCCTCTAAGTTAAGTTTAAGGCAATAATTTTAATTAGCCAAAGGCCTGAAACTAATTTTAGTCCCTCCTTCGGAGGTTCCCATGCTCCCAACTGTTCCTCTGGAGATGTTATGGCCCTGGCTCTTCCGATCTTTATTCTTGTTTACATCCGAAATACATATTAAATCATCTCTGTTTGGAAAGTCTGAGCCTCCTTAAAACCATGAAACATTCAATTACTAATTAGCTGTTTCCTGTTCCTAATGAAGTGAACATGTCAGATTTGGATTAAAATTCAGCTACTGCTCTCCTCTGTTTATGGTTCCAGATGTTTTTGTTTTATCTAGGAGGTTACTTTGACAGCTACTGCTAAATGATAAATCACTCATATTATAGCTGAAATGCATTTTGAAATTGAAATGTGGCAAACTTTGAGATTGCTCCAAGGATCAGTGTCAGTTAGCAGGTCAATACTTGTTCTCTCCATATGAGTGTTCAGTATTGGCATATGTAAAACAGTAATGGGAGAGATGTCAACATTATACAAAATGCTTCTCAATATTATCATTTTGCTATCATCTTCAAGATCAGTACTTGCGGGTGTAGCTGGGTGGATTCATGATTCATTGTATAATGAACAAGTATATGGATTTTTGTTAGCTTTAGTTTCTGTAGGCATTTCAATATGTATTTTTTTTCTGGGCTTAATGTTGCTTAATGTGAAAAATCACAGTTGATAGGTACTATAACTAGAAATAACTTTATGAAGGAAATAAATGGCTTTCTACCGATTCCCTAAATAAGGAAAAATAATTTTAAAAGGAATGTGATGGTTTCTGAATGAAAGAACAGTTTTACAAGAAAAGAAAGATATTGATTTCCTTCTATTACATTTTTTAATGCAATGCAATTTTGGTTTAACACACTGCTCCCTAGAAGGTTTTGTGCATATACTAATGTCATGTTGTAAAGCTGATGGCATGTTATTCACTCTCTTATGGAGGCATGTAGTACAACACCGGCTGCCTCCCGGAAAAAAAGGGAGGAAAATGAGTATTCCATTAAAATGCAAGTGCCACAAAGGGAGAAAATCCAACTCGGAGTATTTACAGCATCACCTCCACAGACGCTGCCGGGCAAGAAACTACTAGACTAGAACTAGTACTAGACTAGTTCCACACTAGTACTAGTTCTAGACTAGTATTACATTACTAGAAACGAAGCTGGTGGGTGTTCAGCCCAGCTGAGTGTCCCAACCTACACCCCTTGGTCAGGAGGACTGGGCCCTACTCCTTTCTCTGCGGACACACCTCCCAAGGGCTCGGCTGAGCTCTTCTCAGCTGCTCCGTCTCTTTCCATGGTGGCTGCTTTCTACCACTTGCAGATCTGATAATTTGGCTTCAGGGAATAGAAGCCCACAAACAAATGAGAAACCCACCTGAGCTTCAGTTAATTATAAAAGCATCACTTTGTAATTGACCTTTTCTTCTTTTTTTTTTTCCCCTCCAGAAAACAGAACATACATCAAACCTACTATTATGTACTGAAGGAAACACCTATTGTTGAAAAATGTGTAATGACCACTATTTGAAGACTGTATAGTTGATGAAAAACGTCCCTTCGCAACCTTTGATGCCTTCAGTACTGTGTGAAGAACAGGATTTGTAGCATGAAACTTGAAGGACAATTTCAAGCAATTTACTGTTGCTGCATCAAAAACTGCCGTGTTAGAAATACTGAGACTTTTTACAAGCTTACCATACCAAACCAAGCCTGTTGCAACAGATCATTTTTAGGTCCCCGGAGCTAGAAAGGAGTTTTAGTATTTTTAAGCACATACAGGAATTATTCCCCCTTTCCCCCCAAAAAAGAACTTTTTTTTTTTCTCTAAGGAGGTAGCTATTACTGTATAGCGATGGCACAATGATTTTAAGCCACAAAGGTCCTCACTGGCTGTACATCATACAAGTCCAGTTTATCACTGAAACTGTTCAACATGGAGCTGTTTCGATTGTGTTTATAAATTAAGCTTTGTTTACTGAAGCAGATACTCGATATATATTACGTTTTAAAAAGAAATGTGTGTACATTTTTTAAAAGAATGATGTAAAAATTGTCCTTTCATTAGATGACCAATTCAGAAGTGTGAGCTAAACCCTAACAGCTGACGTAATATGAGGATTATAATTGATGCTTTTTTTTATGCTCAGTTCAGCTTGGCTTTTGGTCTTTTAAGATGGAAAAATGAATATGCAGTAGAGTGTTAGATAATGGAAACTTTTAAGTATGGTTTCTCTGTTGTACCATATTAAGTTAAAGTACACATTCTTTGTTAAAAATGTTCTTGCTAAAAATACAGTATTAAAATTTTTTTTGTTTGACTTTGGAAATCTTCTAAGATTTTTTTTTTCCTGTGAATTCCCATAGTTGCTGTACTGCTGCAAACCAGTATTTTGCACTATTAAAAATACTTGAAGAAATTAATAAAGAGGGTGGGTTGGTATTAAACATTTTCCTAATTATTTTATGTTCCAAATTCTGAACTTTGCAGCTGAAAGATTCCTTTCTCACAGTCCATGACTGAAACCTGGTCTGAGTCAAGTGAAACTCAGTGATCGCCTGTTCCCTTCCTGCTGCCGTTCAGGGGTCAGCAGCACAGTGCTTATTTACCTGCCAACTCAGGCTCACATGTGCATTATGGTTACACACACCCTGAATTAAATCACTGTCACTTAAACAAGAAAACCCTCCTTTGAATAGGTCTATGGGAACTGTATTTCCTATGATGATGTATACTACATCTATGTCTATATGTACAGCATTGAAAAGTAAGTTCTTTTATCACTAGATTTTTTTTTCTGGTTAATGGACTTTTGCAGACATTAAAGTAGCTTCAAGCTATTCTGTGTAATATGGCAGAATGGAATCATCTGATTTTTCATTCTTAAATCTTTTAGCTTAACCAGAAGTCAGTTTCAGAAAACATGTTGGCCTCAGTTTAACAGGTGATCAAATTCATTATCAGAATAGTCTTCCAATATACAAGCATGGTTTATTCCATATAATTTTTATAGTAAGCATTCTAATAACTGCATTAGTCACACTGCCATTGATCAAAAATCAAAAATGGAATGACACAAAGAAACAGCTTTAGGTGTGTGAGTCCTCCTGCACTCTTAATAAAATCTGATGTGCATGTGAACCACTGCAGCATCTGAACTTAAATTCTACCTTAGGCTATTTATTAATTTCAGTTGCTGTTCCATCGGATTCTCTGAAATGAAGGCTGGACCATATTGAATATAATAGATACATAATATATATATAATATTCCTAAATCTTGTTTTTAAAGAGGACTTGAAACTGTCCTTGGGATACCACAGCATTTCTGACTGACCCAACTCTGCTACTGCTCCTGTGAATTCAGATTTTGAAGAGAGCTCTTTGGTGAGTTACCCAGGGTTGTGCACGCTGAAAGACTCACAGTAACTAAATGGTTCACTCTGTTGCAGTTTTGTCTTTCTCTTTAGTCTCCATAAAGGCTATTTTAGCATTTTTTTTCCCTCAGTGGCTGATGTACATTTCCTAAGGCTGCATTGATACCGTGTTGATGAGCACTTCATTGATTTCTAATTTGCCCTTCCCAGAATAGTTTGAAATGTCAAAGTCCTGGCAAATGAGATTTAGGAAACTGATAAACTTCAGAGACTGGATCTGCTGCTGAGTCCTTACTAGGGAGCTCCTGATGAATATTGACAAACCAAGACACTGGGGGTTTTGTGTGTCAGCTCACGCTGAGTGCACTTGTAACTAACACTTCATGATGGAGAAACGTATTCCAGCCAGAACAAGCAACAAGTTTGGCCAATTGCAAGTTAACAGTTCATGCAAAAATGTGGATGGGGGGGGAGGAGGGGATGTGTGTGTGTGTGTGTGTGTATTATTATTTTATTTTATTTCCTATCATCTTAAAAATTTTCCAAATGATGCCATTCTGCATAGGGACCTGGTGGTGAGTTACCATGACCCAAAACTTTTCCATAGCTGTTTCTGGCTGGTGAGTGTCCAGCCCATGGGCACAGACTGAACAGCAGTCACAAACATCCCCTGCCCACCCTACACGCAGCCAGGTGGGGGTTAGGGCTGGCAGGACATGGGTTTTTTTATCTCCATACAGAGTAAAAAGCCTCAGTGTAGACTTTGTCTGGTTCCAGGCACTGCAATTGAGCACAAAGGGTAAGAAAACAAGGAAATTGCTTTGATGTCATATTTTTCTAGGTCTCTGCTGATCTTGTTATTCAAAGGTGAAAAAGAGGGGATTGTTCACTCAGAGAAGACAAGACTAAAGGAAGAATTAATTGTCTTTCATAGGTAAAAGTAAGCTGTAAGGAGCTGGAAAGTAACCAACCTTCCCTGTCCTCTGTGGTTCCATGCCCAGCGTAGGGCAGTGTGCGTTGCTTTCAGAAAGCTGCGTAACCCCATGATCTCATTCCTGCCTGGTGGTCCAGTACCCAGACACAGGCAATGGTGAGCTGGTAGCCCCAGAGGGACATCGCCTCTGAGTGGTTGGTTTTGGGGTTGGTTTTTTTCCAGATAAAGAAGCCTGAGAAGAGCAGGACTTAGGCTGTGCCTGTGCCCTCAGCACCTCCTAGAAGTGGCAGAGCAGATGGATGCTGCAAACCCGTTCCAGTGCAGTGCACAGGCTGCATGACACTCAGGTGGGGACAGGTGTTTGAAGGCTGGGGTGCCCTGCTGAGGCCGGGATGCAGCACCCACTGCCCCTCTGCAGTTGCCTCTGGGGTGGCTCCGGTTTCCTACAAAGCATCTCCTTGTTTGTGAATTGCTGCTGAAATGGTATTATGCCAGTGAAGTTGGTGTTAGCTGGACACAAAGTGATCTTGGCTAAATGCAGGTGAGTTAATGGAGGATATTCCAGCAATTTTATGAATCTTGTATAATGCAGACCGGTATCATCATAAACTAACAATCAATAGTGACCAATCTCAATTTAAAATCTGGATCTATAGTAATACACAGCAAGAACACTCTCCTTTGGAAATGCATGGCTGTGCATTAAAAGCTGAAGACAGGTTTAAGTAATTGCTAGCTACAAGTAAGTGGCCCATTAATGTATTTATTTACAGGATATTTTTGGTAACATAACACTATGTGGGCTAACTCGAATTGTTACAAATTGCCTTCATGGCCTCAGCTGAGCTCCACAAGGGCTCCTGTGCCCATGTGTGTGTGCACATGTGCATGGACTTGGCCCTAAGCTACAGACATTATAATTCCCTGCCTCGCTGGCCCTGGGCTGAGGATCTGTTACCTCTGGCAGTAATACCGGTAGAAAGCCTTCCTGCTTTCCCACTACATCCTGCCTGCGCCGCTGTGCCTTGCTGGAGAGAGGAGCAATGGAGAGGGAAAGGGATTTACAGATGGGTTTTTTAAAGCCAGGCACCATCATTTGTTAGACACACTGCAATTGTTTAGGCATTTGTAAAATCCCTATTAATAATTTTTACTTTAGTTCTGTCTACAAATAAGGGTGTCTTTGATGACTGGAGGCTGGAATGGAAGAGGAGGAAAAGGCATTTTTATAATGATGCATTTTGAGCTGTTACGAATACAGTTTTACATTTGTATATCAAAGAAATCAATTTAAATGAGCCAATTCAGTGGGAAGGTTTTGCTGTAATTGCTCACCTTTGTGCTCTCTCAAAGCGGCCCTCACTTCTTGATATGAATTCTGTGGGTAGTGTATCTGCCCAGCTAACTGCGGATGTTACCTGTAAGACAACCTAGCTCTGTGCCAACATGGCTGGGACAGCCTCTGTGTTTAATAAGGTCATTATCTTTAAAACCAACAATTTCAGACAGGTTAGGCCGTGCTTACCTGCTGCTCCTGGTAACACAGCAAGTGCCCAGTATGCTGGAATAAATTTTGGCTGGTCAAAGGAATGAAGGAGATGAAACATCCAGGGAAGTGGCAAGTCCATATTCAATGATACAGAATTGGCCCATCACTAATTAATCATTGTGTGCTTCCGTCAGCCAACAGTGAGGCAGATGTACTTACAGTACCAGCGAGTCTGAAATAAGACAACAGATAGAAAATCTTTTTGAATTGTTAGGCAAAAGCATGATTTTGTCATAATAAAGTTTGCATCACAGTTCCTTCACAACAAACACTGCAATGCAATACATCTTCTATCAATGGGATTAAGAGTGCTTTCACAGTGCACAGCCTTACATAAACATCATGCATTGAGTGGTCGAGTGTCACAACAGCACGTTCATGTATGTGTGGCACCACGCTACAGACGCCGTTGGACGGTGCCAGGGGCTGTGCTGCTGGAGAGGCAAAGAAGTGGTTGGGGTCACAGTACATTGACCCTGTCTTTGGAGTGCTGAATACACTCACGAAGGGCCTGCATAGTTCTTGTTTTGGGATCTGGGCCTTGCCTGAAGCTTTAATCTTATTACCAAAACGCCACATGCCT